GTGGAATTCCAATAAAATTGATTCATGTTTGTGGCTGTAATGTGACAAAATGTGGGAAAGTTCAAGGGGGCCGAATACTTTTGCAAACCACTGTGTGTAATATATATATATATAAAATAAAGGTGTATAAATGTAGGCTGATAAATAAACAGTAATGTTTTGATGAACTGACTGATTTTTGACTTTAACTGAAGACATTTTTTTGTTTTAATGTTGGTTTTTAAAAAGTGATTTTTACTAGTCTGTTATTTTTTGTTGTTGTTGCTGTTGTTTTTGTTTTTACATCCATCTGATTCAATTTAGGTTATACCTTGTGTACCCACATTGTGCTTTCACATGGAATGGATGGATCCATGCATCAATGTTGTTTACACCCTACCATCTGAATGTTGCAGCAGAAAATGACTCATACCAGCCGTATTTTCTAATCTAGTGTCCCGTTTTGGTGTGGTCTTCTGCTGCTGTAGCTCATCTGCTTTAACACTTGCTAGTTGCTTATTGAATATTTTTTCAGACAATTCTCTGTAAACTCTAGACGATTGTGCCACATTCAGTCACTTAAATTTACTCCATTGTGATGTTTGGTTTGAACTTCAACTTGTCATCTCGACCATGTATACATGTGTAAATGCATTGAGTTGCTGCCATGAGACCGACTGGTTAGATATCTGTGTTAAAGAGCAGTTGAACTGGTTTACCTAGCAAAGTGATTGGGTTGTATGTGTGTTACATAAATTAAGTTTTGAATACTTGCTCTAGACACACACTTGTATTGTGAACAGTTATCTAGAAAGCTGCAACCCGCAGCAGGCTCATTCTGCACAGCCACAGTCCTCACTGTTGTCATCCTTGTCCAACAATAAATCAATGATCATCTCGATGTGAGCTGTTTAGCCTATTTATGTTTTGCAGCTACAAACTCCACATTAGTGGTTGGAAGTTATACGTTACTTTTTTTTTCTTTCTTTTTTTTTAAGCAGGGCAACAACAGTAACTAAGGAAACGAATACATTTTCTTGCTGGCTGTTAGATTTCATTTCACTGAAAGCAAAAACGTACTGACTCTGCATTTGTTGGTCATGTGTCAGTACACATCTCTCTAATAATGACATGTCACTTCAACAAGGAAACTGTCACTTGAAAAGCAATGGCATGCACATCCTTTTCCTCATTTCAAACATTTCTCAAGTCTGAGGGTTAGTTTGCAGTTTCTCTTTTACTGCAGATCTGACCTACAATCTTCAGAGAGGTCAGCACACCTGGAGCAGCAGAGTTTGGGTGAAATTGCTCTTTAATGTGACAGCAAGAAAAACACCAGGTCACATGACAAGTACAAATACTTTCCACTGTTGGTGCATTTCAGGTAAGGACATGCAGGGAGGTGATGTCACTATTCAAAGCAATTTTCCCATTTCACAGTTAAAGGTCAGGGGGCAAACATTGGCAGTTACACTTTGTTCTTCCATTGCTTTCCTCTCACATATTCATTTGTAAACTCTTTATATCACAACAGAATAGTCAGCATTTTCACGTCATAAGAGGGCTGCATAATTTAATAGTCCAGGGTTACAGAGAGCAAGCACAGAAACAAACATGTACTGCATACAACCTTCCCAACCAGGGACGCTCGTACTTCATCAGGCCCGACTGAAACTTAAGCCCTGACCACGAAGCAAAGAGAGCCACTTAAAGAGCTTGCGTCGGTTTGAATCATTTCACTGGAGAAACGTTCTGAACCTTTACGTTTTAGTGCAGCAAGTTAAAGTTTGTTTCAAACGAGCGTTCATTTGCATATCAGAAGCATGTTTTGCATGAACTGGAAACTAACTTCCATCATTTTAAATAAATTTTTTTAAAGCCCACAGAGACGCAACCAGTCGCTCAGAGCGACGGAAATCATGTTTACACATCGTAATCACGGCCTGTTTAGGTGCAACTTGCACAGTTTAGACGATTTCCCACTGGGTGTAGTGAAACTTAAACGGAGCGCAACATGTTAAAAACAAAATATGTTTAGCTGTAATTGTGACTCAGAAATAAACAGGTTGCTACAGTTAATTAAAAAAAAAAGGGGAAAAAAGCCTCAAGCTTTGCCGTGAGCGATATTCTGCCGCATACATCTCCAGCCAAACAATGCAGGCAGCTAGCCAACATCACAGCTCAATCAATGTGGGGAGATAGAGGGGAGAAAGGGTGGGGAGGGATGCCTTCAGAGATTACATTCTGCATGGGCCTTTCATCAGGGTAGATGGCAGTTTTCACTGCAGCGATACCGAAAGTATTTCAGCTGCCACTGTAATTTGGTTTTTTTTGTTTGTTTGTTTTTTTAAATGCTTCACTTATTTTTTTTATTTTTTGCTTATCCAGTACATTCAACAAAAAGCAGGTGTCGCCCAAAAATGAGCGTACCAGCTTAATCTGGATGATCACAGATGAATCTCAGGGTGAACAGACCTTGTCAACCATGACTAGGCTTACACATTGAATCCATTTTGGGCTGAACAGTAACCAAGTTACAACTTGCTGCTGCCGTTTTGTTTCCTGGTGTAAGAACATGCATGTGCGGCTTTCCTCATACACTGCACTCCCACGGATATCCAAACAACCGATCAAGTATGTACAGGTTCACTTTCACTAAAAGCAGACCCGTCAGTGCACCACGTCCCACCTGTCCCTTCAGTTTTACTACAGACTACCTCAAACTTTCTGTGTCCTAATCCCAACTGTTCAAAACAAGAAAAAATACATATACACCATACAAAGACTCGTTAGGACAGATCGTCTAAACAAAAACAAAGAAAAAAAATTATAAAGTGCTCTA